TAGCGAATTTACCAGAGAATTGTGACATGATTAATATTAACAATAGCTGCATATTATGTAAGATATTTCAAATTTTTATTCATTTATCAATAGAACTTATTCAACTTTGTGCCTATCGTAATGCTTATTGAAATGGATAATGTATATACAATGGTACTTTGATACTCATCGTTAATTGGTTCCAGGAAGCAAGTTGAATATCAAAAATAATGATTACCAAACACATTTTCCCTAAGGATTAATGTAGTGAATCACAAGGCAGCTGACCTCGACAAGTTTGTGCACTGAATACCAAACAAACAATGAGGACCGGAACAAAATTTTCATATCATAATGTGTTGATTATCAAATGTGACGATTTTTAAAGCAGTTGATTACCAAGGTACCATTGTATTGGGATGTATGCTCTAGTTGAGAAGTCCTCTATGTCCTACATTCAGCTGGTTATTAGTGGTTACAGGAGACTCTGGCTTTTGCATTGTATCAAATGATTTTCATATCAAGTACATTCTTATGTTTTCAAAATAGCTAAGGCTATTTTTTTTGCTGAAAACTAAATCTGTAATATATATAAAATGCATTTAAATAGATTTAGCTAGATGGCATATATTTTGTATTATATATTTCTTTAAGACACATTTTATTCATTATATTTGCAATAAGCCAAAATTCTTTATTAATTCACTTAAAGAACAAAACTTCATAAGCTTTAAAGTATGTCTGAATGATTTTAGGAGTAAAGAGAGTTCTAAGAGCTGTAGTGTGTCCAAGAAATCACTGAATCAAGCAATTATCTGTCTGCAAAAAACTCACCGCTTATATCTACATGTTTGATCACTATATTCTGTGCTCATGTGAATCTTTGCTATTCTTTATTAAACTTTTCCTCAGCATAGCACTCCCCAGTTGCTTTCCCAAAACGTAATGATACCAGATTCTGCAAAGTAGCATGCACGTAACTTTGCTCTTCTTTTCTTAAATCCTCAGTATTGAATTTGAAATAATGTGTGATAACTTGAAAATATCTTGGTATATGATATAGAAAATGTCAAACATTTTGTAGACTTTTAGAATAATATCTTAGCAGGTTGCAGCATTGAATTGAGCTTGCTATCTAGCCATAAATTAAAAACATTAACTTAACTAATCCATTATCTTGATTTCATATACTTCTCTTACCTGTGTTGAACTCTGTTGTAATGTGTAATATTTTGGTCTTTGCTTCTAAACAAACCATTAAATACTTGGATGGGAGAAAATACTAAAGTGATAAAAGAATTGGAAAAAAAACCTTTAGAAGGCAGAAGATAATTACTTCTATTTTGTTGCCAAAAAAACCTACATGGATATTTTTATGGAAATCAAGTGTCAAGTGTGACTTGAGACTTTCAATTACTTTAAAAAAAAGCAGATTCAGTAATTAGTTTATTGATTTGATCTCTTGAAATGTAAGGTTTATGTGCTTCTTCAATGAGTTAATAAATTTACATTGCAGAGGCTGCTCATATACTTGGAAGAAACTGTTGGCTTATTCTCAATAGTAAATAATTAGTAATAATTATTTACAGTTTTATAATCTTGAGTGTAGTCTCAATCTTTTATGGAAACCATATTTATCTTATTTGACCTTATTTACTTAGCTTTTAAATTTGACTGAACTCAAATCTATATACAACCCCAGAATTTTCAAATCCTCTTTCCCAGGAATTTAGCAAAGAACAAGCTTCCATATTTCCCAAAGGGTCCCAAAAGTGGTTTACACATTTTTAAAAAATGGGTTTGTGTGTGTGAGCTTTTTGGTTGACATACAGTCATAAAGTAATATTAAAAGCAGCAAATTGTTTCCGAGCTTGAGGATAATCTAAAATGTTGTTATTCATAATTGGCTAGATTTGTTATTTTACCTTGAGGTTTATTTTATATATTTTTTAAAAAGTAAATGTATGTCACCAAGAACTGTAGTACAATTATTTCAGATAAGCATTTTTTTTAAAAATTTTTTTATTGTTCTGTTGATTTCTTTGTCCCATAAATGGTGTATTCTATTTGCCACAGCAAATAAGATAAGAGAATATATCCATGCTACATTGGACTTTATGTTTTTATTCATTCATTCCTCTATGCTTTGTGCCCTGAAATAGAATAGACAATTAAAAAAATGAAACAAATAGCCTCTTTATAGATATGATATACGATCAAGTATTGTAATGGCTTAAATTCTGAAGTTTATATAATAACATTTGTGGGAATTTTAACATTGCCTTTCTAACAGAGCAATCTTTTTTGCTTTCAAATAAAAGAATGTTTCATAGTTTGAGGATATAAGATTCCAATATTTGAGTTCTTAAAATAAGCAACAATATTATAAAGCAGATACCTCATTTACTGTTAGGAAATTATATTTATATTTTAGGTTTAGAAACCAGGATGTAGAAAAATTTTCTAATTTGGAAGCTGTGGTCTTCAACATCTTCCATTAAAATAAGTTCTGCAGAAATAAATATAGTCCTTACAGCAAAAAGACTACTTTTAAACAATGCTTAAATCAAAACTAATGTATATTCTGTGAAATAAAAAAGTTCCTTTTCAAGACCTTACAACCAACAGCCAAGGTTCTGTACTATTAAGAATTATGTGTACAGACAATGTGGTTAGTTGATAGAGACCAGCACTAACTAACTTTCTTTTTACATGGTATATAAGAGGAGGAAGAAACATCTTTACTTAAATTTAAAATTACTTTTTGCGGATACTTTGTAATGATTGAGGGTAAAAAAGCAGAAAAGCGCCCAATGTTAGGAAATTGCAATTCAATACCATGTAATTTAAACCTGCTGTTTCTCTCCTTATACTAAATGACATACAGATGGATCATTCTACTTTGAGAATACAATTGTTTCTTTATGGGGGTATATATCTGTTGCTTAAAAAAAAACCTTTGTAGAATTGTAATCAAGCATAAATCCTTCAATAACTGGGAGAAAAGTTTATTTTGAAAAACGTTAATTGTTCAAGCCAAATATAACTGCTAGATCTTAATCTCTTAAACACCGGTATACTTTAAGAAAAATTCACTATACATATTTATAGTCTAAAACATTTGGAAATGAGAAACTAGGATATTCAATATTTATTTGTGTTGCATATCTGCCTACATTTGTAAGTCTATAGCTATACATCTTGTTGCCTTGCCAGACTAGCCTACATTTTATTATTTATCAAATAATGAGAGAAATGTCTAAAATGAAAGAGCAATCTTAGAAGTAATCTGCTTAAATTCAAAGTGAATTATATTTCAGAAGTATGTAAAGGATTGCAAAATAAAAGTTTAATTTTTGTTCACAAACCATATGATTAATGAATTCATCTAAGATTCACAGTTTAACAAATGCAGGATTGCTGAACACTTTTGGAAAATGAAGAACAGATAACTTTTGCAGAATGAAAATATTTTATTTTTATTTTTTAAATTTTTTTAGTTATACAGCTGCATCCATTAAATATTAGAAATATTTATATTAAAATTTTCATCCAGTATCTTAAGAGCTTCCTCTATGGAATGAATATCACTTGGAAACTATGTTGGTATTCTTTTATATATCAGTTATTTGATTCATTCTCCAAATCATATTGTCTTTTTCCATTTCAGCTAGAGTGCTGCATAAAATATGCAGAATATGTTAATTTCACATTCTTGTAGTTCTTTTCATTATGTTTGGAGATAAATTAAATAATTCATCCCTAAAATATTCTGCTGAGGAGCAGATATGTATAATCCTTCTCTGTGTACAATATGCCTTATCTGTTTGCTGCTTGATTTTTAATTGGATTTCAAAAATGCAAATTATTGTGCTTTGGAAAGGAAGTAGAGCAGAGGAATGCATATTAGTCTCACTTCCTGCATATATGATCTTTAAATTGTTCATTATCAGGAGTCAACTCAATAAGCTTCCTTAAAATTCTCCTAATCTACGGGTTGAGAGATCTTTCACAACATTAAACCTCTATATTATACTGTTATATGGTAAATATATTATTAATAAACTGTTAAAGAAACTTATTTAATCAAATTGTAGATATTAAGTGGCATTCTTTAGCTATTTTATGCTTATCAGTTTCATTGGAGAAAAAGGTTTTATTTTGTAAATCTTTTTTAATACTTTGCATAACTATAATATTTCTAGGATTGTTTATTTGGCTTTTTTTACAAACAATATTTTTATATTATTGAGGATAATTACACATGTTCTTAAGAATCTACATTCTGTTTTGTTTTAGCTCCTCTTTAAAACCAATATACATTTTACTAAACTCTAGAATTCTTAGTCTCTTAAATTCCTAATTCTTAGCTCAATTTTCTGAATTCATGGTTATCATATTCATTTCCTTTATATCCTTGAATTTTGCCCTAATTTTGCATCTATATTGCAGTCATCACAATATTTGCCTCAAATTTATTTGAGTTGTATGCCATTAAGAAAATTTCAGTGGTTATAAACCATAATCATTCAATAAAATAAAAATGATAACAATTAAAATACAAACAATAATATAAATAAACTACATGGAACAATAAGAAGATATTCTGGTTAAACGTAATATGCCCTTTACCTTTTACCTATTTACCGATGTCTTATAGGGTTTAAAAACTATTGAGAAGTATTTATTGAGAAGACCTGAGGAAGACAATATTAGGCTCCAGGTTTTACCGTCTTGCAAAGGATAATGTGACCGTCAGATCTCACAAATGTGTGTTGACTTTTCTGCATAGTGAAAGCTTTGGCTGCCTCACATTCTTTTCACATGCACACCTGCTTGTGTGCAACAGCCTTCTAAAAGTTGGGTTGAAAGAACAATCCACTGAACCTCTCTAATGCATAAGGATGCAGTCTAGCCGTTGGAAAAGTGAATGTACAATGGAAGCTGTACTTGGCTAGCATGCAGTGTCTCAGGATTTTAAATTGAAAAGACTCCTTTTTCCATATTTTATCTTTTTGCAGGGTCATGTAGGGGGGAAAAGAACAAAAAGGTGACTTTTTCTCATGAAGAACTGAGAAAACGGCTGACACCCTTGCAGTACCATGTTACTCAGGAGAAAGGAACTGAAAGGTATAGCAAGGGGGTAGATGGTAATAAAAATGGGGATTCTTCTTTTTCATTATGTTGTAATTTTCTCCCAAGTGGTTTCAAGTAATTCTGTTTTAGAAAGCCAAAAGTTTGTAGCATGGGCACTATGTTCAGCAATCTGATCAATATAACTTGGTTATTATTAACTTTATTTTATTTTACTTTACTACAACATTTGTGCAAATAGCATAAGTCATTTTTTTCGTTTTGGGGAAGGAAATTTGAATTATAGTGGAAATAACCTTTAAGGCAATATTTTTGAAGGGGTCATTGTAAATATCAAAGAGAAAAGACAATGTGGTATAATTTTATTTTTCCCATTCTGCTTTTTTTGTTGTTTGTTTCTTTTCTTTGAAACTTCCGGGTAGAAAATATTAATTGTGTCCTTAAGCAGCTTTTATATTCTGATAAAAGGTAAAGTAAAAGAAAAAAGACAGTTCTTTTTCAAGGATCACATAATGAATGTAGTTTATTCCATTTGATTCATGAAAAATAGATATCTGTACTAAGATGGTTTTGAATTATTTTGATTCAGTAAGCTTAATAATATGCTTAAATATTTAATTTACAATTAATTCATAATATTCTATTTTTAATTAGAATTGCTGAATGAAGATCTCTGGGTGTTAAAGCTCCCTATGCCTCTAGACATGGACTGTTGATCATGCACTTTCCATGACTTCAGCCAAATCATTTTCTGTTGTGTTCAAGATGAGCACAGCAATGTAGTTCATGAAAACTGTAAGATATTCGGTCACTTAAAAATATCTGTATAACTGCTGATTTTTATTAGAACAATGACCTCCTAACCTTTTTAAATGGTTAACTTAAAAAGTATCCTTAAAGCAGTAAAGCTATTTTTGAATATAAAAATTCCCAACTTTCACCCAGCTTGGAATTCAGCTCCCCCCCTCAGCCAATCATAATCCAACGTTAAAATTGATTCTTTTAGTAGTATGATTACACACTGTCTTCCATTTGGATCTTACGCTACTGTATTATTTGTTAAGGTATCAGGTAAATAACGAATCAAAATGTAATGATAAGAATAAATGGTTATTTCTTCTCTTTCTTTTTCTAGCTATAATTATGATGTATAATGGTCTTTTCTCTAAAGTCTTAGTGAGTTACCTGACCTAAGAAATTTTCATCTGTGCTAGCCATATGCAATTTTTTAAATTCCATTTTAAAATTATCTTTTATTTTTATGTTTTGTAAATCTGGTTAATGATCAAAATAGCATATTTTACTTTGGTTTAACATAAGGTAAATAAAGTATGTTTATAAAATGTTAATAGGATTTAAAAAAACAAATTTGCAGTGAAAATTTTAAATCTTAATTGAAAATGTGTTGGAAGAAAAGGTTTTTCATCCAGGAAGCATGTATGTTTATACTTTAAAACACAAGTTTACAGTGAATGAAAAGAAATCTCATCCTCAAAGGTTCAGACTTGAAACAGTAAAGAGAAATTTATATCTCAGCTGTCAAATCTGATCTATAAATCTAATAGTAGGTAGAGACAACCAGAGCTTCAGAAAAATCAAGCTCTAAAGAGCCAATTGGGAATAGAAAGATTCCCCTTTCAGATGGGCTTTTAAAAAGAGGTAATTTCCTTTTTTTTCTTTTTGGTTTTCTGTGTATTTTTCCCCCCCTTACAGGTGGAAAAATTGGAGCCAGGAAAGCAGAAATTTCAATCCTCAGAAATCTTAAAACTGGAGATCCAGGAGGAATTGTAGCAATTTAGGGCAAGGGTGTCAAACTCGCATTGTCATGGCAGCATTACGTGACGTATCTGGACTTTTCCTCCCTTCGCTAAACTGGGCCACGGACCGCGAGTTTGACACCCCAGGTCTAGGGGATAGTAGCACCAGATCTGTATTAGCATTTTTCAAAAAAAATATATTGGGAAAATGATTTGAGATCAGCATTTGTACAATTTGCCTATAAATGCAAAAGTTATTTCTATATTGGAAGCAGCTTCTGAGATTAAATTTGCAGAGTTATGGTTAAAATCTGCAAAAACTATAAAACACACTTCTTTATAGATAGTTCTTAATTTATGACTGGTCACTTAACAACTATGCAACGGCCTGGAATGGATGCTTCATGGCTTGTAAGGCACTTCTTGCCATCATAAAATGTAATGCTACACCTACTTCTCACAGTCATATAACTGCATTCCAGAGCTTGTGAACCATCTCATCTTTACAGTTATAACCTCCTGCAGCCATGAGATGTTTTCTGCTGATTTCTGCAAAAATTGCCCATTTAGAAGAATGTGTTTGCACTTATGGTGACAGGTTCCGTTAATGACCATGATGATTTCAATTAATGACTGCTGCAAAAATATCATAAAATTGGGTCCATGTTTGTCAGTGCCTCAGCTTAACTACCATAACAATTTGTGAGTAGACATTCAGTGCCAATAGCAGTTGAAAGCCGAGAACTATCTGGTTGATTATTTCTTATCTCTTTCATTTTGCATAAAGTTGCTTCACCCAAAAGAAAATAGGGTTATGAAATTGTAAATATGCATACTAAATAATTATTTCTGTCTTGTGCTCTAGTGCTTTTGAAGGAGAATATACATATAATAAAGCCATTGGAATATATAAATGTGTTGTTTGTGGAAGCCCTTTATTCAAGTAAGTAGATTGAACAAAATAAATGTGCAGTTTGTGATATTTGACTAGTTTGGGAAAACATTACACTTTGATTGTAGTTACTAGACAGAAGTGGGTAGATGTAATCTGTTTTTTTAAGCAATGTTGGCTTAGAATTCTGGATGCTTTGGTCAAGGGCAGAAACTATCAGAGATAGGGAGTCCCTCAAATAACCCAGTTTATGCCTTGAACATTTTTACCAATAGTAACCTACTCTTTAATTACAGAGTTGAGTATACAGAGTACAGACTTTAGTTGTAATTATAATTAAAACTAACTCTATCAAATTTGATGCCTTGATCACTGGTGAAGTGGTTAAGGTCCAAATTGTGTGCTCAGTGGTGGACAATGTTTTTGCTTATATTACCTGATTGAAAAAGACATACTCAGAATTGGCCTTCCTCACCTTTAAATCAGCATTCAACTTCTCTCTGACATTGTTATGAAGAAATCTTTCAGATACATAAATTGACATGCAACTTTTCTTAATTCAACAGTGGTCTTCAGACATTTAACTCAAAATGAGGTGTAACACTCAGGAAATGTTCTTGAATACTGTGTGCATTGAGAGTATGATAGGACAGTGAGAGTGTATTGTGGGCCCCCAATTTATTCATATAATTGAATTCCTAGATTCATCAGATTTCCACACACTTAAGACTGTGGGTAGCAATATATTATTCTGATTGGGCAACATAACAATTATTTCCTGTATACATCTTGTGCTAAAACGTGTGGTGAGGAACATTGTTTATTACAGCACCCTAAACAGGCTGGACCTAAAATTATCAGGAATCTAAAATTACGTCTTTTTGCCAAGTACAGAATACTTTGATACAAATACTGTACAAAGTAGGAGGAGCAATATACAATACACATCAGATTTCTAGTATATTATGTTCTATGTTTATTAATCAATTTGATATGGGAAGATGGGGATGAATGAGAGGGAGCACCAATATCAGCCATGGGCAGGGATTCTCTTATAATCTAATTTAACTCACAATTGAGAGTTGCAATTGTGATGAAAAATGAAGAGAGATAACTAACATTATATCCTTGAAAAAAAGGGATCATATAAATCCTAACAAATACATAATAATTGAACCATGACACCAAGGCTGCACATCATTTTGTGCATTATTCATAAAATGATATTCATATCCCTTTATAATACATGAGTTAGAAGATAATTTATTTTTGTTCCTTTGCCATTAACTAGTATACTGCATTTTTGTAATTAGCTGTTTGAAAACCAAATAAGTAACAATAGCTAATTAGTTCTCCATCTAGAGCAGTGGTTCTCAACCTATGGGTCGGGACCCCTTTTCGGGGTCGAACGACCCTTTCACAGGGGTCGCCTAGGACCATTGGAAAAC